GTTCTGTTATTACCCACCTCCCTTCCTGCTGCCTTCTTCTCCACCTCTTTGCCACACTGCTCCAGGGTTTCCCACCCACCTCAAGGATGGCCCTTGCTCCTGGTGTGTCCAGGAGACTGGCCCCAAGTGATCACCTGAGATTTGTCTCCAGCTCTAAGCCTATTTCTCCTCCCACACTAACCTTGGACAAGATACATCAAAAGTACATTCATTTTCCTGCACTGTATTCCTGGCCAGCAATGCTGAGCTCTCGGTTCTCCAGTTCCTCCTCGGATTCTCATTGTTGGCCAACGTGCTTGGGCAGCCCCCTTCCCATGACAGGCTCTCCCTATGACTTGACCTAACAGTAGCTCTTCCAGCCTCCTCTGCTGCCTGTTGCAGGCAGTCTCCAGCTCAGGCCAGAATGAACCCAGTCCACACTCCAGTCACTGGCCCTGAACTGCAGTCTTGCTGGAAACTACCCCCAGACTCATTCCCCTGGGAAAAACTTAGGAGAATGTAGACAACCCCGAGTGATCTTCCAACACTAAACAAACAGAAACAAAGAGCGCAAGCAGTCCAAGGGTGTCCAGTAGCTAGAAAATAAATAAATAAATAAAGATAAAGTCACTAAGAAAAAAGGAACTGAATGCTTTCCTTTCCCTTTGTCACAAGAGCTATCAGTAAATTAAAAAAAAAAATACCAGAGAACAAAGCATGAAACCTAGGACTTGTCAGCAGAAAAAGAACATCCTGAAAGTGGAAAGGACTGAAGTGGTATTTGCAGCTGAAGCTCTGGAAAACATGGAGCAAGGAGACCCGCCCGCCCCTCTGGTGCTTCTGCTACGGAAAGGGGCAGCTCGGGGAAGGCTGACAGCTGCTCAAATAGCTCTGAAATTGACATGGGTTATTTCTGAATATTATTGTAATATCTGATGAAATCACACAGTCTATAAGGACTCACCTTATGGGTGTTTCCAGGAGTATGTAGATCAGGGAGCCAACCAACAGTATCTATAACCCCAAAGGTAAATTCCCTGAGGAGATGGGTTAAATGCTGTCTAAGTCTGTCTTCCCCACTTGAATGTGAGCTCACTCCTCAAGGGCAGCTATTACTCATCTTTATGTGCTAAGTGCTCATCCAGGGTGCTGGTGACCAGTTGTTTCTCAGTGACCGTTCACTGTGTGAATGAGTGAGGGTGTGAATGAGTGCACGCGCACAGGTCTGAGGGTGAGACTGTCAGGCAGACACAGAATGGCGTCCTGTCTTCAGCAGGAGCTAAACACAAGCCTCTCAACTGCAGAGAAAGAAGATGTACTGCAAGAACTACTGGGATAGATGGAACATTTGATAATAAGGAGAAGATGTAACCCTGGACCTTAAGTGGCTTATACATTACTGCACAAATGCCATTGCCTTTTTTCTGTGTGGCTTATTTATATGTGAAGCTAACAACACATACATAAATACACAAACTCATGGGTGGAATAGAAGTTCAGTTCTTTTTTTGATGCTGCTATTTTTTCTTTACTTTAATCATCAAAATACCATTTTGAAAGCTTAATATGCCGAACTTTCACTCCTGCAGTGTTCTGCTCAGAGCTGAATAGCAACTTCGACAAAATCCAGACTGTCAGCTTCTGCCAGGGAATTAGGGTTTATGTTCAGTATAATAAATGATCCCAAGATAAATATATTTCTCTTTTTTTTAATCCTGGATGGTGGTGTGTCCTCTTCCTAATAAAGAAACAGGGGAGTCTGCCTCTGTTTAGTTTGTCTGATTGCTTTGAAGATGGGAGACAGGTTGGGTCTGAAAAAACTATGGTCCTCTATTCATTAAAGTGTCAATAATACTCAGTCCCGGCATATCGACGGTGGATTAGCTTGGGCTGAGTCTGTGTACAAGACCAATGCCTTCTGTAACCCAGCTTGTTTCCAGATCAATACACCCATCAGCATTCGAAAATTAGCCCAAGATGAGATTCCAATGGTTGGGGTGGTGTGTCACGCTAACGGGGCACCTCTCCAAGTCACCGATGTAAACACCTGGCTGGGGATTAGACATTTTCCATCAGCTTAGATGTGAGTTGCCGACTCCATCCCCTCACCCCTCCCATCACCAGCCCCTTCAAACACCCCACCTTCTCTCTTGGAGCCCATGTAAGATCTATAATTCCAGCCATTTGCTCCAATGAGCTTTTAGTAAATGTTTACTTTGAGTGAAGCATTCTGCCATTTGTTTAGGGCAGGAGTGTGTGTGTGTGTGTGTGTGTGTGTGTGTGTGCGTGCTAGGGTGTGGCTTAAGAAAAAAGTGATAAGACCACAGCTCTGGTTTTCAAGATCTTTAGCATTTTTCACAATTCTTTCTGTTTCCCAGTTCCATAAATATTGTCCTTCCTAAAGCAAATGTCTGTAATAGTTCCTCATCTCTCATTGCCATTATGAGATATTCTGCTCTCAACGGGAAGTGTGTGTTGCAGGGTGGGGGCGGGGCATGAGGGGCAGGAGGAATGGTGCAGATGGTAGACAGTACTGCTGGGGCACTGGCCAAACTCCCTCTGAATTCTGGTTTTCCAGCGTTTATTGGTGGCATACCCACTCACAATAAAACATGTATTTTATATTAGAAACCTACATGCACCAAAACAAGACTCCCGTATAGAGATAGCAACTCAGCTTTCCATAATACAGTTCAACACCTTCTATGTAATTCTATTTCTTTTATCATTTTTTTAAAGAATTACTTAATTTATTATTATTTTTCAATTTGACCAGAGACAGAAAAAAGAGAGAGGGAAAGTAAGAAAGCAAGCTACCAGGTCTGGGACTCAAACCTTGGTCTACCATGTGGAAGCTCAGTGCCCCAATCATGATGCCACCTGTTGCCCTCAATTCTATTTCCTTTAAGAACACTGTATGCACCCAGCAATTTGAAATTTATTCATTTATAGAACCAATAAAATAAAAGGTATTATAGTTTCCTCTAGGGAAGAAAAATGAAGACAAAGTAAAAACTTGAAATGACCACATTTTCTACAGCACGGGAGGTGCCAGGGTTGCCCCCAGTTTGTCTCTGCCCAGAGCTGGCCCACTGTGCCCTTGCTCAAGTGCATCTTGCTCTCTTTCTAGTCACCCTACCTTGCCCTGCACAAATCTGATTACAATCCAAACTTTATCTTCTCCAGCCTTTTTGCAGCAAGCATTCCTGTAGTTCTCCCAGCTCCTTTGAGCACTCCTTCTCAAGCCACCTTCCTTCCCCTTACTGCCCTAGCCAATCCTCACATGGCTCTGCAGGTTTTGCTTGGGCATGCTGGCAAAGAGTGTTGGTGGACGCGGCCTCAAGGAGAAGATGTTCCCCTGGACCTGCCATTGAGCTGGATAGTGGGTATAGCGTCAAAGCAAGGCCATAGGAGAGCAGGCACTCCATTGCTTGCTCAGGGGTTCCAGCTCCTGAGAACAAAATAAGGAAGCTGGGCCACTGGAAAAGGGGCTTAAAAAGTGAAAACATAGCAATATTTCAAATAAGGAAGCAATGAGGAAAAGAAGGAAAAGGAACAAAAAAGAAAGGAAGGGAAAGAAAGAGAAGGAGCCCAATAGCAACGCCTAAGTGGAATTTCTACGTGCTGGGTTCTTTTTGAAGAGTTTTGTACATAAATGTATGGGAAATTCAATCCCTACCCCAGCTCTTCAAGTTGACCCATCTTTACTGAAAAGGACCAATGAGGAACGGCGATGACCTGATCAAGGTCTTGCAGGAAGAAAGCAGCTGACGCTAACTCTAAGCTCTTCCTCACTAACTAGAAATTTGTCCCCAGGGTTAAGTGTTGTCTGGATGCCCCAGACCAGTTCTGCTTTAGGGGAAGAGGTAAACGCCATTCCCAGGTTCTGAGAAACAGATAGAACAGAACCAAGAGAAATGCAAACAATAGAATAAGCAAACACATGAGGCCTCACAATCTGGGGATAGAGGAACCATAAGATGAGTAAGCAAGGTGAGGTCCAACCAAAACATTGACGAGACACGGATACCTGGGGAGATGCGGTATCAGGAATTGGGCTCAGGATGGGAGAGGGCAAAGTCCAGCTGGAAACAGCAGGGAGTTTGTGAAGGATGTGTTAGGGATAAGGGCCCAGAGCAGCCTGCTTGGCTCAGCTTTCTCTGAAGGCTGGGCTAAGGTATGCCATAGGTATAGTACCAGAAGAGCATTCAAAAGCTGATCCTGGGTCAGCTGGTGCCATGGCGCTTAAGGCGGCTGGGTCTCAAATGATCAGTTTCATGGTTGGAGTCCCAGATGCAGGGGCTTGTAAACCATTCCAGGTGCATGTGTGTATTCCTCTTAGGTGCTGTTCCTCTTAAGTTCCACTTAGGTGTGGCTATTGGGATCCTTCTCTTTTTTCCTCTTCCTTTCTTTTTTGTTCCTTTCCCTTCTCCTTTCCCTCATTCCTTCATTATTTGAAATATTGCTATGTTTTCACTTTTTAAGCACCTTTTCCAGTGGCTCAGCTTCCTTATTTTGTTCTCAGGAGCTGGAGCCCCTGAGCAAGCAACAGAGTGCCTGCTCTCCTATGGTCTTGCTTTGACTCTATATCCCCCATCCAGAGGAATGGAGGAGACAGGATTGAGGCCTGGCCATGCCCCCTTGGAAGGTGCTTTCTCATTCCCCTACTTCCCTATTCCCCACTTTGTCTTTCTCCAGCAAGCAAGCTTGGAGTTGGAGAGAACAAAAAAAAAAAGAGAAAAAAGAAAAACAAACAAACAAAAAAAACAGAGTAAAAAATGCCAAGGAAAGTAGTAATGAAAAGATCGTTTTCTGAGAATATGTATTACTGAGATGAAAGTGAAAGGAAAAATCCTAACCCCACTCAATGGGAAAATTATTGGAAGCGTCAGCTTTAGAGTGCAAAATGGCAACCAGAAAGATGACCTGGGCAGACAGAACAAACAGACGTCACCCCTGTTGAGCATCACAGGGAAGTCCTCAGTGCAGGCTTTCCCAGCCACCTGCCGAGCCCCACCTACCTTGTACAATGAGGTGGACCCGGGAGGTCTTCGGGTGGTTGTCTGTCTGCACGGAGCAGGTGTACGGGCCCTCATCATACACATCCACATTCTGGATCTCGATGCTGTACTGGGTTTGAGTGTTGCTCAGGAGGACCACACGGGGATCCAGGCACCACTTGTCATTCCCAGCATAGAGGATGGTGCTGCGGTTTAGCCAGGCCACCCGGGTGACCCGGTTGTCAATTGTGCACCTGAAAAGGAAGATCAGGCAGGTAAATCCAAGGACCAGAGAAAACAGGAGCCTCAGAATTGAGTCTGCAGTGCTGTGCTTTGTCTTTCTTGTCTTTTGACAATACATGTAGATTTCCTGTGCTTGGTTTGTCACAAGTGGAACTTTCCAGAAACCCAGCAGGAGAGGCCTAAAGCATATTGGCTTGCTCAGACTTCTGTATTCTGTGCAGTTCAGGTTTCTGAATCCACCCAAGTAATGGCACCCTTTCTCAGGCATAACCTGGAGGCATCCTACAGCCCAGAACACCTGACCCTTTGAGCACTACCAATACTCCTTTGGCTCAAGGAGTCCCACGATGTGAATGAGACCCCCAGGTGACAGTCTAGGTGTGCTAAGCATCCCATGTCACTCGATAGGTTAAACAACCCTAAGAAGAATGTTCATTGTTAAGAGGAATTGAGGACCCAAAATGTGAATTCTCTAAGCTACACAGTTAATATGCGCTAGATCCGAGACCCAGGTTTTAACTACTAGACATCATTCCTTCCCTCTCAGAATAGCAAATTCTGACAGAAGGCTTCTGAAGTCAACACTAAATACGGACTACCACCATTGCTGTTTATCTTCATTCCACCCAGGGGCAGAAATGTTCAATTACTGCTAGACTAAAGGCATTTTCCACAATCTCAAAATTGTTTGCACATATAAAAATAGATTATCTTTCTTTTATTTTTGCATCTGGAGTCCCCAAATTGTAGAAGCTTCTTTTTCTTTTCTACACTTTGCAATTTCCCAGCGCCTCTCACCAAGTCCTCATCACATCTGTCCATATTCATTTCCCTCTCTAGCGACACCAACGATGTTCTGTGGCCTTAGGCTAAATTCACAGTGTCCTGATCCTAACTATAATGATGGAAATAGCAACATAGCATGGTATGTATAATGATGCTTCAAATTTACACATTCTTTTGCAGTGTACAAAGCACTTTTACATTTGCATTGTCTCATTTGATTCTTGCAGCAAATCTGTGAGATAGATGCTTTCACTCACTCTCTACTTTTCTTTTCAAAGACTGTTGTCATAGGGTGCGTGTACTTGCAGGAGACCAAGACATAGAGAGGCAAAGTGAGAAATCATCCCCCAGGAGGGAGGGCCACACCACAACCTCTTGTCCTTCATTGTCCTCTTGGGATTTGGGGCACATACATATGCACCCAATGTGTGTTACAAGCAACTAGGACCAGGACTCAAAACATGCAGTCATGTAGGCTCCAGTGCCTTAACCACTGCACCATCCACTGGTCCCCCATTCTTTACTGTTAAGGTCAGGACTTGAGGGACCAGCAGATGGCATAATGGCTATGTCGCTGGACTTCCACATAGTTGACCATGGTTTGAGTCCCAGAACTGGAGGCTTAAAATTCATGCCAGGGTGTGTGTGTGTGCATGCCAAAGATCCCAAGAGAACAATGAAAGAGAAGAGGTTGCAACATGGCCATCTCCCTGGGGGCTCATTTCTAGCTTTCTGTCTCTCAGGCAAGTGCATGCACTCTATAGCGAAAATCTCTCTCAAAATGTTTTTATAAAAATTTTAAAAAGATCAGGACTTGAGGGTTTCCAGTTGTCTAGTGAGCTGCCTAATGTGAGAGAGTGACGGAGTAGAGGGATCTGATTACTCAGCCAGGTCTTCTAATTCCTGGTCTCGCATTCACTTCAGAATGTGCAAAGGCAAATTTTTCAGTGGGGCAGGTGATTGCTTCTATTGAATTCTGAAGATGGCCTGTGACCATAAAACCTCAGAGTTGCTACTAAGCATAGCAGCTTCCCCAGGACCCCAGAAGGAGGAGACAACCTATTTGATCCATCCCTTCTGCTTCATTTGTGCAACTATTGCACAACCATTGTAGGGCCACTCGGGCACAGGTGGACATCTTGCTGAGCACTCCCATGTAGAAAACTGCCCAACTTAAAACACTCTTGCTCTGGTGTCCAGCAAGCTGTGTGCTATTTACTGCATTTTCTGGCAATGCAGGGGAGATGCAGGTTCTCTCTAGCTTCGTTCTGACACATGGCATGGAAATGATGGAAGACCTCACTAGGAAAAATCAGGGGACTGTCCCCCAGAGAAAGTGCAGATCTTACACCAGAATCACAGAAGAGGTTTGCTGGCCTTGGTCTCATCCCCTACCATATGGATTTGGAAACTTTGGGAATCCAGAAATGAAAATTCATAATAATATCCCAGTGGGTCATGTACACACAGTTTGAAAACTATCGGCGTAGAGGAGTGTGCCCAGGACCCCCTTCATCATTTGTGAGGACTAGTGTAAAATGAAAACACAAAGGTCTCTGTTCAAGAATCAATATGAATTTCAAGATGCTGAAAGACACTAAACTGAGTGTTGGTCCCTATGCCAATAAGCACAGCTATGCAGCCTGCCCTGAATGTATCATAGACGTCCCTGTGCTTGTAATCCCCGGAGAGCCTGCTAAAATACATTCTAACTCAGTAGCTCAAGACTACTGAGACTGCATTTTTAGAGAAGCCCATATATGCCTCTGGCAATTAAAAAGAAAAGCAAACTTTATTTGGTCATTGGACATGAACCCAAACAGGTGTTTGAAATAAAAATAGAGCACACTGTGGGTTTACTCAGGTGATACCAATGTCAATGGCCCCAGGGCCATGCCTCTCTATATCTGCAGGTGCATCAGATACACATTAGTGCTTGCAAAGCACTGAGCCGGCACCTCATTGTGCAAAGTGGGGTCAGCAAACCAGGCATCACTGGGAGAGTGGAGCAGGCAGGACCTCAGGCCCCATGGCAGAGACAATGAATTGGAATCTGCACATCAGTCAGCTCTCTAGTTGAGTCTAATGCACGTGAAGTTTGGACTGGTCTCAGGTGTCCTCCACGCCTTGCCTCCGATGGCGATAATCATGTCCAGAATGCACCCTGAGAGTGAGTGGGGTGGAGAAGCACAGCCAATGGAGGAACTGCCAGCTGCTAAACCTTCCACATGCTGCTTTCAGGGCAACCATCTTTATTTTTTTATTATTATTATATTTTTTTGCTATAGGGCGTGTTGCTCGCCAGACAGACAGAGAGAGACAGAGAGACAGAAAGAGAGAAATCACCCCCCAGAGGGGATGGCCACGCCGCAATCCCTTCTCCTCCATTCTCCTCTCAGGATCTTGGGCACGCACGTACATGCGCCCAGCATGAGTTTATGTCACCAGGTCCGGGACACAAACTGCGGTCAACTACATGGGAGTCCAGCGACAGCCATTACACTAACTGATGGTCCCCTAGGGCAACCATCTTCATCTTGGGCTGCCTTGCACAGGGACTGAAATTCCTCAAGGGCCACCTGCTCCAGTTTGCCCTGGACATCGTCTGTATTCATAAATTTCAGGGTGGCCACAGATTTGACCTTTGCTTAGGTCCAAGCAGGGAACTGATAAAATTCACATTCATGGTCAATGTTCATTGAACACTTGTCACTGTATGCTAGGTACTACGCAAGCCCACAACACACACCATTTTATCACCTCAAAACCTGGCTGGGTTCAGTTACTCTCGCCAATTTATGGGTTCCCTTGCCTTTATTTGTCAGAGGGCATATGCGCTTGTCAGAAAGAAAGAGACAGAGACAGAGAGAGGGGAAGCACACCCTAATGGGGCAGAGCCACACAGCAATGCTTTTTCTTCCATTTCTCCATCCTGCCAGGATTTCAAACACACATGCACATGTGCCTGATGTGTCTCTCAAGCCACAGGGCTGGGAATCAAACCACAGTCAGCCAAATGGAACCCAACTCCCAGTGCACTGCACTTAAGCACTGTGCTACCAGGAAGGGTCACTACTATCAGCTTAAAGAAGAAATTGACTAAGGCTGAGACACTAGCCACAGGGAGACTAAGGTCGCACTGATGTCCAACTGCAGAACCAGGATGAAAACATAGCTTTGTGGAGCATTTTTAGTCTTGTTTCAAATTCAGGAGGACATCTAAATCAGTGGTTTTCAAGCTCAACATGTGTCTTTTTCTTTTTTTTAAAAGAGAGATTTTTGATATAGGCCGCATACCCTTGTCAGAGACAGAGGGAGACATAAAGACAGAAAGCAAGAAGTCACCTCCCAGGGGTATGGCCTTGCTGTGATCCTTTCTCCTCCATTTTCCCCTCAGGATTTTGGGCACACACATGCACACACCCAGTATGAGATTCAACCTGCCAGGCCCGGAGACTCACAATGTAGTCAACTACGTGGGAGCCCAGCGACGTAACCATTACGCCATCTGCTGATCCCTCAACATACCTTTTAATCACCTAGAAAACAGGTCAACACAGAGCTCACTGAGCCCCACCCCAGCGTTTCTGGTTTGGTAGGTCTGAGCAGGGCCTGAGAATCTGCCTTTCTGGTACACTCCCAGCTGAGGCTCCCACTGCTCTGGAGCCCACACTTTCAGAACCGTTGCTCTAGACATCTGGTCTCTGGAGAGAGGAGGACAGCAGAGTGAGTGGACGGAAAATGACCCCTGTCTGCCCTCTTCCCCTACAGAAAGGGCTAGCTGGATGCCAGTATGTTTTGGGAAGCCAGTGAAGAGTCCCAGTGATTCCCACCAGCAGCTGCAGCGTGACCAGGCACCAGGTGAGTGGCCACAGGAATGGTGACCGACAGACTCCAAAATGTGCCCAGCATGAGTTTATGTCACCAGGTCCGGGACACAAACTGCGGTCAACTACATGGGAGTCCAGCGACAGCCATTACACTAACTGATGGTCCCCTAGGGCAACCATCTTCATCTTGGGCTGCCTTGCACAGGGACTGAAATTCCTCAAGGGCCACCTGCTCCAGTTTGCCCTGGACATCGTCTGTATTCATAAATTTCAGGGTGGCCACAGATTTGACCTTTGCTTAGGTCCAAGCAGGGAACTGATAAAATTCACATTCATGGTCAATGTTCATTGAACACTTGTCACTGTATGCTAGGTACTACGCAAGCCCACAACAC